TTTCCCTACTTGAATGCCTTTTATTTTATTCTCTTTTCTGATTGCATTGGCTAGGACTTCCAGTACTGTACTGAAAAGGAGTGGAGAAAATAGGAAACCTTGTCTTATTCCAGGTTTTAATGGAAAAATTTTCAGCTTTTCCTCTTTGAGTATGATCTTTGCTATAGGTTTTTCATATATGGCTTCTATTGTGTTGAGAAATAGCCCTTCTACGCTGATTTTGCTGAGTCTTAATCATAAAGGGATGTTGTATCTTATTAAATGCTTTTTCTTCATCAGTCAATATGATTATTTTTATTGTTCTTTCTGTTAATATGGTGTGTTATGTTTATGATTTTATGTATATTGAGCCACCCTTGCATCCCTGGAATAAAGGGTAGCTGATTGTGATGCATAAATTATTTTTTTATATGTCACTGGGTGTGATTTGCTAGTATCTTGTTGAGAATTTTTGCATCTATATTCATCAGAGATATTGGTATGTAATTTTCTCTCTTTTTTTGTTACATCCTTATCTGTGTTAGAAATGAGGATGATGGAGGCTTCGTAAAATGAATTTGGAAGAGTTCCTTCCATTTGAATCATTAAAAATAGTTTGAGTAGAATGGGAGCTAACTCTTTAAAAGTTTTGTAAAATCCAGAAATGAAGCTATCAGGACCTAGACTTTTCTTTGTTGGGAGGTTATTTATTACATATTCTATCTCATTGTTTGTTATTGGACTATTCAGACTTGTTATGGCTTCCTGATTCAATCTGGGTAGATTATATATGTCCAGGAATTTGTCCACCTCATCCAGGTTTTCTCGTTTGTTGGCATACAGTTGCTCATAATGTTCTCTGATTTTTTTTTTTTGCTGTTATGTATGTTGTAATATTGCCTGTTTCATTGTAAATCTGATTTATTTCATTCTTTTCTCTCTTCTTTTTTTAGAGAGTTATTTATTTATTTATTTATTTGCTATAGGGCGCATGCACTCACCAGACAGAGACAGAGAGAGACAGAGAGACAGAAAGTGAGAAATCACTCCCTAGGAGGGATGGCCACGCCACAATCCCTTTTCCTCCATTCTCCTCTCGGGATCTTGGGCATGCACGCACACGTGCCCGGCGTGAGTTTTAAGCCACCGGGTCCGGGACACAAACTGCAGTCGACTACATGGGAGTCCAGTGACACAGCCATCACACTAACTGTTGCCCCCTTTCTCTCTTCTTAATTAATCTAGCTAACTGTCAATTTTATCTTCTCAAAGAACCAGCTTTTGGTTTCATTTATTTTCTGAGTATTCATTTATTCTCTGTTTCATTTATTTCTGCTTGGATCTTTATTATTCTCTTCTCCTGGCATTTTTATTGTTGTTGTTGTTGTTTTATCAGTTCCCTGATGTGTGTTGTTGGGTTCTTTATTTGTCACCTTTTCATCTTTTTTTTTTTTTAAGCACACTAATTGCAATTAACTTCCCTCTATGACTGCTTTTGCTGTGTCCCATAAGTTAGGGAAACTCGTGCTCATCATTAGTTTCAATGAATCTTTTGATTCTAGTTTAATTTCTTCAGTGGTTGTGAAGTTATTCAAG